TGTACCCAGAATGACGTTTGAAAAGAATAAAAAATCAGGAGCGGTGCAGTAACCGTCAATATTTTACAAAATTAAATTTTAATTAAAGCAAAAAAAAATTTGTGTGGAACTTTTGAACAAAAAAGTAAGGAAAAAGAAATCGTATTTCACGTGTCGGTATGTTGTACTATTTACTTAAAAATTAGCCTTATCAGGAAAAACGGACAGACGCTACATGCTCTCTAGGGTGCTGGAAAGGAAGGCACAGATCCTCTCAGTATATCTTTTAATAGTGGTTACGGTGATCGCCTCAAGTGTAACTTATACATCTCTTGTTGCTTATTCAAATCCGCCAGTTACCACAAAGCTCGCCCCAATCACGTTCAGGGAAAAATTTTTGGTTATTTAATTTTTCAATTTTTTTTAATATTTTCAATTCAAACCGCTCCTGGAGTGAGTTGACAGTTGTTTGTTTGTAATAGTTCACAAATATACATTTATACTAACACAAGCAAACATTTATTTGATAGGCTGTCTCCCTTTGATTGCGGAATAAAAATACATTTGGGGTGTTCACAGTTCGTTCCAAATTGTGTCTGAAAATGTAGACGTCTACATTTTGAGACATTTTTAGCATCAAACTGTGAGCACCCCTTTCTAGCAGTCGTCGCAAAATCGTCTCAAAACTTTGCTGGTGTTGCCAGACATTTCTTCCTTGCGTGCATTTTTTATATGTCGCCTTTCGATTATGTTTCTGAAAAATTGTAATTATTTAACTTAATTACCAATTTGTAATATTTGTTATTTCTTTTCCTTGNTCCCATACAAAATTGGAAAACGACGCCGTCTACATTTTGTCACACTCAAAGGTATGTTTTTTACGCGTCTACATTTTGCAACCTCGCAGCAGGGTTGCATTATGGCAATACTAACCGCATTTTTTTATTTATTGGGCACGTTTTCTATATTTGCATTTAATTTGAGCGCAATTTATGATGAAAAGAAATAACTCAAGGAAAAGAAATAACAAATATTAGGAATTGGTAATTAAGTTAAATAATTACAATTTTTCAGAAACAAAATCGAAAGGCGACATATAAAAAAGCACGCAAAGAAGAAATGTCTGGCAACACCAGCAAAGTTTTGAGACGATTTTGCGACGACTGCTAAAAAGGGGTGCTCACAGTTTGATGCTAAAGATGCCTCAAAATGTAGACGTCTACATTTTCAGACACAATTTGGAACGAACTGTGAACACCCCAATTGTGAAGATACGTTACTATCAATAAAGAAGTATTACATATATGCTTGGTACATAAGTAAAAATAAATTTCTTTTTCTAAGGGAATTGGTTGAGCTATGCCGTACTGGGTATGTTCACTTACATATACATACTCAGATGTGGACATTGAAAGACGTGCATGCTAAATTTTTAAACGATGATAAAATATAAAGTATTTATTTTTCATCTGGGAAAATAGGTAAGCACCTTACGAGGTAAGCCATGATTATATTGAGTTTTTAGTACCAAAATTGTCATCATGACCATTATCATCTACTAGTAAAGCAAAAAATGAATACCTCCGACGACGCATTACGTTGTCAGTTGCAAAATAACGTGCAGCCGAAGTTATTTCCAAGCCAGTGGGTTACTATGCATTATTTCCCTCAGTGTAGTAATAAGCAAGTAATTACAACTGTTGAAATCACAGCTTTTTTGGCATAGGTGTATCAAACAAGTTTTGCCTTAATTTTCGTTGTAGTTAATTGCACGTGAGTTTGATGTGATTTACCTGGCTGACATATGTACATACATATCGTTAGCTTAATATAGAAATTTCCTATCTCACATTGTCGCTGAAGTACAAAAAACCGTAACTAAGTAAAAATCTAAAATTCCCTGTTTGATTTATTATGATGCATTTCATCGAATTATATGTCCGCACATCATTTTAAGCAATACAAAATTTTAGTTAGTTATCTACGGCTTTTTTTGCATTTCAACGACTATATGACGTCTATATGTAGATACATAAATATCTGTGCCCGTCAATTCAAATAGCCCAAGCCTGGATATACTATTTCTCCTCCTTTAAATCAATATTTCATTGGGTTCCCAAAAAATATTTTAACGATTTTAACTGGCCATACTTAGGTGTAACGGGTGATCCATGTAATGGTTGTTTGACATATTTACCAGAAAATTTCATTACCAGAAACATTTTCGGACTAAAACTGGTAACCTCTGACAGAGAAAGGACCTAATTTATTCTGTTTATTTAAATAGTGTTATTGAGCTTAGTACCACGATTTCTTTGTTTGGAAATTCTGATTTTTTGACTAGTTCGGACTTGGGATCGCAACTTCTGTGAAATTTGTGCAAGCTTTAAAGCTTTTATTTATGTATCTATGTGGTTTCTATGATGGATCAAATTATCTTTTAAATTAAAACTATTAAAAGTAAATATATAAACATGAATTGCAAACAATGCCATTTGGATATTTTTTTGCTTTGACAATAGCTGAATATATACATACTAGGTATATATCCTAGTCCACTTCTTTTCAAAATTTAGTTTTTGATGCAAAATGGCAGATAATGCGACTCTCCATCTATTTATAGCCTCTCCTGAATAATTGCAAAAAATGGACTTGGCATCTTTTCACGTTTAGGTAACAGTATGATCAATTTGCTTTGCTAAACTATGTTCGCACCGCAAACTTCCAAAATAAGTTCATTCTATAAGAGGGGAAATTTGATTTTTTTTCTGAGTAAACTAGAAAGAATAATACTTCGCTTATGTACCACTTTTACGGATACGCAGAAAATTGTATAAAGTGTAAATTTGAAAAGTATCGAAGATTAACAACAAAAAAACCAAAGCAAAATAAATTTTTGCATGATTCGATGTTGTTATCAAGTATATTTTGAATATATTATATGTACATATAATCTGTTTCCTGGGCATAGCTTATTTGGTAAACGAATACATCTAGGCATATTGTATTACCATACATACATACATACTTAGTATGTACATAAGTACACATACATGCATATTTATATAATTAGAGCACGTGTCATTCGAAATTTGGTATTTGTTATTTTATTTTCTTATTTCAATTGTTTTTACAAAGTTTTTTACATTATGATTCGATTGTTAAAAAGTTAAAAAAATATATTTTGCTTATTAATTACGGACCGGAAATAAAATTAGATCCTAAAAAGCGTATGCTTAGATTTTTTTATTTGAGATAGCGTATGCTAGAGAACCCATTGAGATGCGTGATAAAAAATAGCTGCCGCTGGTCCTAGGCAAATACAATGTAGGCATTTTGCAAAACTTCCGCCATTTTAGAAATAATACTTCTATTGAAAAGTTATTTGGGAAATAGGTATGTATTTCCGAAGAGCTCGTACAATAGTTTGCGAATTTCTCAACAAATATGATCAAAATATTGATCTAAACACTGGATTTGTTCCTATGGAGTTACTTGAAGTCAAATATTTATAGCAACAAGCCAAAAACTACCCGTGAATTGGGGGAGCGAAATTCCCTATTGCCCTATTAATGACACAGGGCCACACTGATTTTGATGCGGCAAATATTGAAGCTGTTTTTTGCAATATTTGAGAAGCGCTAGCAAAAAAAAAGGGTAATAGAACCTTTCATTTAGGCCTAAACTTAAGCTAGAACTCGCGACTACTACTTTTAACGGAATTTTGTTGAAACCAATTTGACGTTTTTATCGATATTTGCCACGCCCATAATAAAAAAATAAAAATAATAATAATAATAAATTTTAAGCCCATTTCTGTCACTTTATAATTCCTTGCTATAAGGAAACTCTAAATATCAATTTTGGGCATTTTAGCTTTTGTAGTTAGTTAACTATTTCAACTTTTACCTTTTTAATAATTACAGTTATATAACAGATTGGCGGGACAGTTCCTCTAAATGACCAATTTTTTTTTTTTTGTAAAAAGCTACACCTATCTTATACCGCACCTTGTGCAAAATTTCATTAATCTATCTTCAATAGTTTTCGAATTACAGACGTGCTGATCATTTCGGTTTACCTTTTTATGGGCTTATCTCTTCTTCTTCTTCTGGTACTCACAAACGTCCTAGCAAAGTTATAATACCAGTTCGTGTTCAAGAAAGGTATAGTGAGTGAAATGTACTGAGTACACTGCACCAAAATTTCATCATTTCCAAAATGAGGCGCTTAACATGTGAAGACCGAATGTATGGTATTTGGAACAAGGTCACACATGAAACACAGGTTGAAGACGTTATCAACAAATACGTCTTAAGAATTTCAAACTTCTTGAGTCAAAATTTATGAATAAAAACCACTACAAGTGAGATAGGCGCAAATACTGCGCAAAAATGTTTCTTTAATCAGTATTTTAATCGGTTGATTAAAAAATCATTAATGAAACATTACTGAAACACAATATTAAACATACAAACGTACAAACAACATACATATGCATTAGTCGTTTTTACAACTTTACCATTTTAGCGTTAAAACTTATTTATTTAATGGTAAGCAACTCTTTGTTTAATGTTGTTGCATTAAAAGCGTAAGGAACTGATCAGGCAACAAAATTGAGGCATCATAATTGATTACGGTAAAGCACTGCAGACTGACAGATTAGTCAACTAGTTACTCGCAACTGAACTGTCTAGTGTACAACTACAAATACTCGTATGTACATACACTTACATATATACTTATGTACACTGAAATTGCTATCCTCAACAATTCGCCGCAGCCTACCATTGACTAAACGCCTGATGGTTTGGCGCATTTACTATTTTATTTAATATTCGGTTGCGTTCAGATAAGCCAAGCCACAGTTAATTGCTAAATAATCGAAAACGAAATGAGTATGTACATACATACATATGCTAAATACACAGACTTATCATGCATATATGTATGTACATGTAACTATGTATATTTATTGATTGATTTACAACAACACGCAATGACCAATTTGGACACGGTCCAGTCGTTGGCGTCCACATCGACCGCGCGGCATGCCGTATTTCTGACGGAGTCTGGCCGTAAACGGCGGAAATGTTGGTGTTGATGGCGCTGACAACGAGCTGACGATCACAGTATTTTCCTGGTGTTCCAACAAAGCGGACGTAAAAATCGGAGAGCAAGTTAAAAACGTGGTGAATACGTAAACTTACAAAGGTGTTTTAATACAAAGAAGTATACCGGTGCATATTTTTTAAATATATTTTTTTTAATTGAAGTGTTTAAAAAGAGATAGGAAGAGCAGTGAAAGTTGTAAAAAAAACCACAAAACTCCAACAAGAAGATAAATAAAAAAATAAAAATAAATATTAAAAATTGAAAAAGCCTATTTTTTCGCAATGACTACCAACGGCAAACGTGTGTGTGTAATTGGCGCTGGCACAGCAGGACTTTGTGCGCTAAAAAATTCACTACAGCAAGGCATGGACGCGATCGCTTATGAGCAATGTAGCGAAGTCGGTGGCACCTGGGTGTATACGAAACCAGGTCAGGACGATGTACACAGCAGCATGTACGAAGGCTTGCGGTAGGTGTACTCAACGCGGCTGGCAACTGTTGTCATTAAGGTGTATAATTTTTGGTTTATCCCCTTTTTAATTATTTACAAAACATAGCACAAATCTGCCAAAGGAAGTAATGGGCTATCCCGATTACTCATATCCCAAGGATGTCGAACAATCTTTTGTGCCATCGTCGGAGGTCTTGAAATTTTTGCAATCATATGCGCAACATTTTGACTTGACAAAATATATTAAGCTGCAACACGAGATAATACGTGTACGACCATTGAACGGTAAATGGGAGGTGAGTTTGTAGGGAACAAAGTTTTAATTCTTAAACTAATTTTAAGGAATTTCCATAATTCAGTTCTCAATTATTAGGTTAATTATTATAGGTGATTTAGTAATGTACAAATCAGAGACCATAGGTAATATCCTTTTTATAAGAAGAAAGCGAAGAATTTTCGTAAAATTTGCTCTTTTAATCGGGGACCGTAACGGTTATGATCTTTATAATCAAAATTATGAATTTGACCGTAAAACTGGATTTTTATTTTTCCGATCAAATTTAACTTTTTTTTTATGATTTTTATTTTTTGTGACTTTTATTTTTTTCAATGAAAAATACTTAATCGTTATTTTGTGATTTTTTCCCGTTAAAAATAATCGTTGTTTTGATTTTTTTTTTCGATCATATTATAACCGTTATATTAAGATTACATTCAACAATTTTATTGAGCTTAGGGCTGTTTTTATGAAAAATGGTGTGGAAAAATAACAATAATTTAGGTAGAAGTTATTGCTGCTATTTCGGAGATCTCCACATCTCCTCATCACACTTCTTCACTGGGATTCGATACAGCGGCCCCAGCGTACAAAAACTAATGGTCGGGCTTGTTCGAGTGGCAATCACAACCGCAGTGTTGCGCGAATTATTAAAGTATCACGTCGATGTGAATTTCTAGCAACCTATTATCAGTCGGGCAGTTGCAACAGTGTTGCAAATTTTTATCAGTGCGGCAGTGATGCCGCTACCTGTAGTTCACCTTATAAACTGCTGTTGCTTTTTCCACTTTTTTCCATATGCCAACTCAACTACAATTAAGGGCAGCTATTGCGCTGCGACTTGATCATGTGGTAGTTGTTTTTGTTTTTTGTTTAATTTTTTAGATCATAAAAGATTAAATCGGTCATAAAAATAAGACAATTTTATAATAGGCCGGACCCGCTTTTGAGATCAAACTCGTCCAAATTTCGATTGAACCGTGTAATTATAAATCCTGTGTTGCTATGTTTGGTTTCAGTATATAAAAATAACTGTTATACGCAATTTTCTGGTGTTGGTTGATTCTTCCGGTGGGGCGAGATGTATATTATAAATAAGTTGTGAAACGTTTTGGATAATCCTTTTTTAACGGACGGAGGTTGGTCCCATATCAAATTGGTTTAGTTCCGATCACCGGATCATAAAGAAATTAACGGTACTAATAAATTACTTATGGTTTCCCTTTTTCCCCTATGAATACTTAATATTAAGCTTAAACATGAGTAGACTGCCGATGTTTGTGTAAAAATGTAAGAAACAAAATTGTTAGACTCAAAGCATGTTGAGGCCAAGTACAGTCCAATTACAAATTTTCCGTCCCACTCTTATTTAAATTCCACATTTTTTTACTTCTTTTCCAGATTTATGTGCGAGACATCAAGAATGATAAATTCTGTAAGGAAATTTTCGATTATGTTTTTGTTTGTAATGGACATTATAGCATGCCTTTGATGCCGAAAATCGAGGGCATAGACGACTATAAAGGCAAAAAATTGCATAGTCATTGGTATCGGAAACCGGATACGTTTGAAGGTGAGTAATTTAAGCGCCCTATTTAGAAAGGAACATCGTAAAATCTCTTTACCCTAAATAAACACAAATCTTTACCATATCACGCTTTGCATTTTAGGTGCTACTGTGCTTGTAATCGGTGCCGGTCCTAGCGGTATGGATATCACCAATCACATCAGCAAATTCGCCAAGCATATCTTTCTCAGCCACAACTTAGATCCAGCCCCTTGCACCGATTTCATGCCGAATGTTACCCAGAAGACCGTCGCACAGCGCTTCACCGAAGATGGCGCTATCTTCAAAGATGGCAGCACTGAAATTTTCGACCACATTATCTTCTGCACCGGCTATAAATACACCTTCCCCTTCCTCAGCATCGACGTTTCGTTGCGTGTCGATGATAATTTCGTGCATCCACTCTACAAGCACTGCATCAACATTAATTACCCAACAATGGCGCTAATTGGTTTGCCTTTCTACGTCTGCCCTTCACAGTCATTTGATTTGCAAGTGCGATTTGCGCTGGCATTCTTCACAAAGAAACGAGAATTCCCAAGTCGTGAAGAGATGTTCGCCGATCTGGAGAAGGATATGGAGCGACGCCGCAAAAAGGGTCTGACCAACCGACAAGCGCATGCGATGGGAGATAAACAGGTGAGTTTTGAAACGCACAACAAATGAAAATATACGAGTCTAGGACTCCGAGACCGTTTTGGACTAAATAAAACAAAATTTCTTCTTCTCTATTTTCAGTACGACTACTATCGCGATCTCTCAGAGACAGCTGGCATCGAAAACATCAAACCGGTTATTAACAAAATTATGGAGGATTGCAGCCGCAAATACATCTATGAGTTGGCCACATATCGTAACGATCGTTTTACGGTGCTGGATGACGAAACCTTCGTTAAATTTCCTATGCAGGCCAAATAATAGTCTAAATTGATTATGTTGCTTCTACATATATGTTGCTTGGGGGTTTTCTTTGGGTAGTGGGTGCTACGTTATTACTTAACTGAATAATTAACTTAAAATATCTTTAACGTTAACTGTTGTAAATAATCCATAATCATCTTTCATATTCAAGCTTCATATGCGCAATAAAATTTGTTAAGCGAAAAACGCGAAACACATAACTTCTGATATTATTCGTTAGTTGAAGGGGCGGATTCAAGGCGAATTAATATAAAGTGATAGCAGGAGTACAAAAACAAAAATTTATATGTATTTTGTTTTTGCTTTGGCGGCATAAACTGTCAAAATCTGTAAGAGTGTGTGTAGAAATTCAAACAAAATTTTTCAATTTGATATCAGAAGCCGTGCGGCGAAACACATACACAAAATCAGCTGAGCTAGTAACACCACCTTATATAAATTCGCCTTGGGCGGATTGAAAGAAGAAAACAAAACGGATGAAAACTTTATCGCTTCTGGTGAAAAGCTATTGATTCAACAGAAAAACGCAACCCAAAAAGATTTACATACATCAGCTGATTAAGTTAAGTGACATTTTGCCCATTTTTTATTTTGTTTATTTAGTGCTTAAATTTTTTCTATAAAAGTCTAGCAAATTACATAACAAATCCACATTTAAACTTCGTAGAAAAATTATAAAAATTCCAACAATTACAACCAAAACTTTTGAAATTTTTATTCAGAATTTTGAGAAAAATTTTAGGTATATATGTACATATATAGCTTTAAAGAGGCCCTAACCAGCAAATTTTCTATTTTACAGGAGAAGAAAAAAACATTATAAAAAGAATATCATGCAGTAAGATGTATTTTAATATATCCTGACATATTCTGTGAAAAGGTTAGGGCCTTTGTGCATTATTGGTTTAAAATTGTCAATAAAACGTCAGGGTAGTTAATATAATGTTATAAGTTTAAGATTGTATTTAAATACGTGTTAAATATATTAGAATAGGGATCTATTGTTTGGAATCCCAGCTACCAAGCTTATTAAGTGAGGATTGAATCAATTCAAAAACAATTCCTGCTTTTTGTATTGCGTGATTTTAACTGGAATTCACGGGTAAAATCTCCCCCATTACACTAGTCGTCTAAAGCTCATTAATTTGCTTACACTTGCAAGTCGTAGAGAAATTCTAGGTGTAATATTTATCTTAAAATTAATGACAGGCTTGATTAATAGCCCGTGCCTTCTGGCTGAGGTAAACCTTAATATTCCTTATCAAGTATCAAGACACTTTCTTCCTCTGTTCTTGAAGCCATGCACAACTAATTTTGAATTAAACGTATCATTCCGCTTTTTATGTCAAGATTTTAACTCTCATTCCAGCTAGTTTGACGTATCGGACTCGGTTCTGACAATAAAGAAAACTGTCATTTCCTCTCTCAATAATTGAGCATATCCAATCAGCTGATGCATTTGATTCTGCAGGTGAACAGTTTTAGATCTCGACACTTAACAAACCCCTGTTTCCACGACTCGGCACAAAAAAAAACAAGTTCCCTATGTCGTGCGGACTGCGCCCATCGTTTCGGTTGGGCGGGAATGGAAGGTAAACCCGTTAGGATTGATTGATAAATCCATAACATCGTATAAAATACAAGAAGAAAAAACTAGTCTATAAGTCTTATTATATGTATCAGCATCTATCTCTGCCTCTTTTGTCTATCCCTTTTGTCATTTTAAAAGTAAAGTGTTCAAATTCACTTTGATATTAATCTTTGTCTTTGGCTGCGTTTCTTTATACATTCCGGATAATCCCATTTCACAGCCGGAATAAACAGAATGCGTATGAAATATACGTTAACATATCATCAGGAACATTCTAAAGAATAAGTAAACAAAAAAGTTTATTCCAAACGTTCAGAATGAATAAAGAAATTCAGCCTTTATCTTTCATATCTGTTTTTATGTTTGCTTTTTCCATTTCTTCATGTACATATCTAAATTCTATTACCTATATATCATGTGATGTGATGTCATTTGATCGCATGTCATGTCATCTCATGTGGTGACATTAGGTGTGTTGAACTTAAGTGTCGAAAATACTTTGTATGGAAAAACTGCGTGGCACTGTCAGCAAAAAAATTGGCAAAAATTAGGATGAATTGTTAGCGACTTGAAAATTGCACTTTATTTTACTAAACTTTAATGAGCTATAAAACTGCACACTCAAACACTTTCTAAAAAAATCTCAAAAACAAAAAAAAACGTTTAAAAGAACCACAATTTGAGAGATTTTTCGAAACTTTACGGTCGACCGTAGATATTATACCATGTTTTGCGATCGGTTCAATGTTATCATGCTAGGTAACTTTTCCGCACTATTAGAACTTCTAAATCGAAAAATTTAATTTTTCACTCCACTCTAATTTCGTCAACGGCTAAAAGGTTTTCAATAATATTTATTTATTTACTGATAACTTCGCTTTTTACGATCATTAAGTGGTTTCCGACCAAGACCAAAAAATTAATAAAAAGTTTTTCTAGTAGCGGTCGCCCCTCGGCAGGCAATTGCAAACCTCCGAGTGTTGTTCTGCCATGAAAAACAGCTTCTAATAAAAATACAAATACCTTTCGGAGTCGGCGTAAACCTGTAGGTCCCTCCCCTTTGTGTGAGAACATATAGGCGCACCGCACAAATCGGAGGTGAAGCTCGGCCAAACACTTAACATATATGTAAGCGCCAATCTATAATTATTTTGGATTATAATTAAATATATAATATTGGATTATAATTAAATACATTGTTATTAGTTCCAAATGCCATAACTCAGAAACGCGACTTTAAAGTAATAACTAAAAAATATAAACTTAAAATTTACGCCGAGGGCAAGGCTGTCATAAAACCTTAACCTTGGTCAACCCTTCGACCTTCTTCCGGCAACTCAACTAATATATGTATGTATAAATATGCATGTAATAATGTACATATGTATATATATATACTTACATATGTATTTATGCATGCATTTACATAAATTTGCATGTTTCTTGCTCTTTTTTGTCAATACAGATGAAACAGTCCTGATTATTGGCATGGATTTAACCAATCAAATAAGTTAATATGCCAAACATGTTTAACTTAACGATCACGTGATGCCGCCACCATGCACCGGCTTCATGCCGAATATTACGCAGAAACCGCTCGCGTAACATTTCACACAGTGGTACAATTTGTAAGGTAATTTAATTATTATATTAAGAACTAAGATAGATATCGTGAAGAAATTTTGTACAAATTATGTTTGAATGACTAACAACTTCTGGTCATAAAATTGGCAAGATCGTATAGCGAAAGCGCCTACCTACCATATAATTAAAAATCTTTTAAAGTTTTCATCAATTTATGAAATCTTTTTGTAAGCACTTTCGCACAGCATAAACATAAACATTATAATGAAATTTCATATTTGTTACAAATCAATTAAATTATATTAAATTCAATACGATAATATCGTTACTAGATACGAATAAAGATGCGCTAGTGTTTTGACGGCGAAAAAAGACGCGTAAAAGAATTTACGAAAAAAGATGCTTAAGAAGAACTTCGGCGAAGAAAGGCGCGTAAACATAGATTTATGTCGATATATTATGACGATATGAGGTACACTGGCGATCTAAAGTGAGTGCATAGTGATGTTTTGTTAAATATTTGCAATGTTTTTCAAGTTAAATTTTTTTGTTATGTCAAATCCCAGTGAACTCGATGAAGAAGTCTGATGAGAAGTGGTGATCTCCGTAATAGTAGCTATAACTTCTACCATATGTAAATTATTGTCGTTTTGAACAAAAATTTTTTTATTAGAAAAAGCGCCTAAAGTTCAATAAAAACTTAGAATATAGTTGAGCCTTTCAATCTGAATTTTTAGAAAAATTATGGGTATGCAGGTGCATCGATTATGAAATTCTAGTAAAACAAGTCCAAGTTTGAAGCGGTTAAAAAATCGTGTTGATTTTTAATATTTGTTATTTTATTTTTTTGTTGACGGCTTTTGCGATTTTTTCATATAAAAAGTGCAATTTATAAAAACAGCGTTGTTTTTTCAGTGATAACGCAGTGGCCAAAAAAAGGCATCTTGTTCGATAACTTTCGAAAGCTCATTAGCTCTCTTTTTGGGAAAACTTTCCACTTTCCACTTTAGATCCGATTTCTGAATTAGGCTTCGCACATACATATGATTTGATGAATTTATTAAACTTAATTCTATCACTACATCTTAAAATGATATTAGTTACTAGAAACAAAATCTATTATTGCAACAAATGTCTTTAATTTTAAGGAATAGGCAGCCAAAAATCAAAAATTTGCCGTTTTGAAATTTTGTAAGTAAGTGCTTTGTATTTCGCGGTATAAGAGATTTCGTCTACAAAAAAAATATATAATTTGGTGCTCACCAAAAAGGTTAAAACTTTATCACCTCCAAAGAAATATGTGCGCCTACTTCGGTGATCTTTTTTATATTTCCTGAATTTGCTTACATAATAAAATAACTGAGAAAGAAATGAAATTAAAACTAACAACAACAAGTTGTATGCACAATTTCATTTTTCACTTCTGGCTTACTATGACTTTTGGATACCGCTATATTTATATGTACCCAAATTTTATTAAAGAATGTTGTATTTACTCTTAAGTAGACATACTTTTTACATGTTTGATAAAAATTTGATTGAAAAATTACAGATAAAAATTTAGTTAAACCACCTTAGCTTTGCACATTGGACCACTGTGCGCCGGTGGTGTGTTTAGCGATGGCAGCACCAATAATTTTAGCATCGTGATTTACTGCACTGGTTTTTGCTACACAGCACCCTTTCTCAACGCCGACTGTCAACTGCATGTGTACGAAAATGCGGTATATCCACTATACAAACATTGCATCAATATCAATCAGCAAACAATGACTTTTATAGAACTACAAGTTTACATACATACATACATATGTACATATGTATGTGCTCTCAAGTTCATTCGATCAGCAATTGCGATTCCCACTGAGTACCTTACATAGCGGAAAGCGTTACCTAGTCGGCAGGAAATGTTGTATGAAGGAGATGCTGAATTAGCTGATCGGAAAGCATTTGGAGAAAGGAAGGCATAAACTAAAAGTAAATTATGTATGTATGTAGGTGGAGTGTTTTGAATATATGTAGCAG